GAAGTCAATATGCCAATGACGAGGATGCGACTTCTTCGCATTCACTAATACACCGACTATCTTCAAAACAATTTGCTACTGCTAGGAGACCAAACTGATCTGTTGTTAGCTCCTTTTCGAGCATTTGTTTAACTGGATTTCGGTCGTCAAGTATCCAAGATCTGGTTCTAGCACTTTGTAAAAAAAGTTTTGTCCCCTCCAGCACCTCGAAGACCTCCTTCATGCCAGACGCAATATTCCGGGCACGGATGAGTGCGGATCCGATAGTGAGAAGTAAGTTGGAAGAAGATGAGGCAGCTTATTGTACTTGGAAGACACTCAATCTCTTCATCGGCTCCTGGAATGTCAACGGACGCCAGGACTCTCTTCTTCGTTTGGACTCGTGGATCCGTCCTCCATCTGGACATCCGCCGGCCGACATCTACGTCTTTGGGTAGGTCATTTTCTGAGGAAACTCGTTAGGATTGAAAGGCTTTCAACCATGCATACAAACAATGCATTTGATGTTTTTTAATCATTTTGGTCGTAGCCCTTTTTTTCTATATTTCACCGAATTCCAATCCCGTAAGGGCGTAGCACGAGCTAATCAGTCGGTAATGCAGTGAATGCCCGTGATTGGCGATCACGTTAGAATAAACGGAAATGAATACCTCTAAACCACCCGCCCGCATATTTTCCACAAAAAAATCTGGATATCACTTTGTTTTGTGGTCTTAAAGAGTTGTTGGGGTCATAATTAAACCATGACACGGTTATCAACTTCTTCATCAAGCGCCTTACAAACCCACTTCGTGAGGTCTGTGCTTCAGGGTGTCCATGGGATCAAAGTTGCGTAGAAAATCGGCAAAGCATCTTATGGGACACACAATTAGGCAAATCCATCCAATTAGTCGGGATCTTTTGACACTTCATTGGAGGTAGGGGCCGGACAGAAGCCTACCTCCTGAGGCTTGAGGATTTGGATGATCAACTTGGAGTTATGACGCTTCGCCTGCATCATCTCCCCATGAGATAAATCAGGGTGTCGTGCGTTGGTTAGTTTCGCATTTCATTGCGTGCCCTCTTGGATTCCACTAAATTTCCCCTTTTGTGAAACCGGAATTCACTTCTCAATGCGGGTTTTACTCATGAGACGAGTGTCCCAATTGAATTCATGAAGGGTCAGATGCATTCATTTGAAATCGCTGTCAGCATTGGAAAATTCTTTCATCTCTCACTTCTTGAAGGTTTCAGGAGTTGGATCTAAACCTAGCAGGAATGGCAATGAATAAGCAATCAGCCTCCCCATTCGAGAGCAAGTGGCTCTGGCTACTGGAGACCTCCATGGAGGGTCTTTTGAGTTTGCCCTCAGGACACTCCGTAACAATGCGTCGATGGACAAAGCGAAGTGGTGGCGGTTTTAAGCGCCTCTCTATCGTTCGGTTGGCCGGCCTCCTCCTCGTCGTCTACGTCTCCAATCGCCTCAGTCAGCAGGCTATTATCTCAGACATCGCCGTTCAATCCGTACCCACGGGCATGTTCAACCTCATGGTCTGTCTCTCTTCTTGCCACCTAGACAGTCCTTTTGCAAACAGCACGGCATTCTTACGCACCGACCATCAATGCCACAATCATGTGACATGATTTTATCCAATTCATTTTGTTCCAAGCTCGGCATAACTGTACCGATTTGGTGGAACAATTCTAGGCCTCCTCCTGGTGAGGGATTAAGTAGTTATTTGGACTTCAAGGTTATGCAGGGGGAGAACTACCTTGGAGGTAATTGACAAGTCACCACTAGGTAAAAGTGTGCTGTTAGGCAAAAAAGGAAATTCACAAGCGGGTTTGCGGTAGGGAGTTGTGGAAGCAGGACAACAGGTTGTTTGCATTCCTCTGAGGTACTGCTGAAGAAGTTCTAACCACTGAAGTTGGTTTTCGAGACGTTTAGGTCTGGTGCCACATTCTGTGTGGAAATTGAGATTCGTCCTCCCTGCCAATTTGACGATCTGAGTTAGTACATGTGGGCTGCAAAACCAAGATGTGGATCGACGCCTCCAGTGGGCTGTGTGATTGAGAATTTTAGCCCTTTTTGACCATTTGATTTTCCCACCGAGTCCATAATCCCATTTCACAGGGCAACAAAGGAGCTGTGGGATTACGCCTAACCGTCTACAATCACTCGCTTTGCTTCCTCAACTGCCACTTGGCTGCAGGTCCGGCCAGCTGTGAGAGGCGAAATCAAGACTATGGAGAAATAATGCGTAAAATGATGTTTGAGCGACGCTCGTTGCAGGAGGTACCGCAATATAGTCTTGTCAACGATCATGAGTATGTCGCTTTCCCTCTCCATTGCCCATTTCAACGTCTACAATTAGCACCTTTACAATCTGTCATCTCTTCTCCTGTCCATTTATTTCTGAGCCATCAGCTCCACTTTGGATACAGTCATTTGATTGTCACTTGAAAGGCATGTCTGTCTCCCTTTTTGTCCTAACCTATTGTTGTGTTTTGGTTTGCCTTTTTTTAGTCAAGTTTTTCTCTTCGGAGACCTAAACTATCGCCTCATTGGACTGGATGTGAACGAGAATCTGGCCGCAATAGCACGGAAGGATTTTGGATTGTTAGTCAAATTTGACGAGGTAGACATACCTGCTTCCAACCCACCACCTTGGCTATCCCCTTCTTCTCCCTCTACTGCCTTCTCCTTTCAGCTGTTGCAACAACAGGCCCAAAGACGTGTGTTGCAGGACTTTTCGGAGGGCAAAATCACCTTTCCCCCCACCTACAAGTTCGATCTCACCTCCAACTCCTACTACATTGCGTAAGCATTTCAATTCCTCGTCCCCTCTTGGGGAGCGAACTGTCAAGTCGATCACCTTCCTTTCCATCCTCGTGTTTACTCATTGCAAAGAGCAGAATCCATCTCTAGCAGCTTCACAGCTACTAAACAAGCATCTTTAACTGACTTTGAGTGACTTGATTTCCTATTTCTAGGGATGGTCGAGTACCGTCGTACTGTGATCGAATTCTCTGGAAGGGGAAGTATGTGGATCAACTTCTCTATCAATCGCATGACGACTTCTGTTTGAGCGATCACAAACCTGTCTCAGCGTACTTCAAAATTGGTGTGAGTTGGTTTTCCGTTCGCCTTCCAGTAGGCAATTATTTGTACCGTCAATGTCCTTTGAGGAGGCGGTGGGTGGGGAGGGGACTGTAGGAAGTACTAAAGGTCGTAACCCTTCTTCGTCGGTATTTAGGCGCGTTGTGTGAGCCAACAACTTTTCATGCGTGCCTACGAGGCGGTAATTCGGAGTCAAGATCTCTTCTACAACATGCTTCTGCCTCAGGCCAGTCTCAGCTCGCAGGAAGTGGATTTTGGACCGATTCAATTTGAGGATATTCACACTCAAACCATCCGTCTCACAAACACCGGTCACTCGAGTCTTGAGTTCGCCTTCACCCAAGAGGGACCTGCCGCCTTTCCACCCTGGCTTCATGTTGCTCCGCTCAACCATCGGGTTGAAAAGGGTGCGTTGATACGTCTCTCCTACAAACACACACACGCAGACATTCTTTCTTCTCTCTTTACTTTCCACAGACTATCTCAAGACGCACTAGGGATGGAAAGTTGTAAATTTGCTAGGTCCCGCATCTGCCTTAACCACTAAAGAAGTTAATGAATCGTTCAATGGGGGTAGATTTGGCAGAACTTCACCGAAATTAAATGTACTTTCCTTGAGTCCTCCGCTCACACGGGTTATCTTCACCGTAGTCGAAAGTGTTGGCGCTTCCTTGCCCCTCATTCCTGTTGGCGACCGGCAGTTCGGTTGATGCAGTAACGGATACCTCTCAGAGTTCTGCAACACTGATTGGGCGATTTCTTCTCCGATCACTCACTTTCTGCCGCCATTTTTGGCGTGCCTTCCCCGCAGTGCTCTTCTTTCACGCCGAATAAGGCTGAAATCCATTTAATTGTGGAAGTTAAATAGG